AAATGCCTCTGCCCCCCGGGGGCCACCCTGAGAATGTGGCTTCATTAGAATTGCAATTAGGTGTATGTTTGTGTATCTATAGCGATATTTGGCGTTACGTCATCTATTGCTATTAATGTACCAACCAGAAGCTCATTGGGTCTTAAAACAGTGGGTTCTTTTGTCTCAGATGTTGGCACATTTGAATAACCAAAACAATGTTTTCAAACGTACAAGAATTATCGCCATTTTTAGTTGAACCAAGGTCATTATAGAAACTCCATATTAGCCATGGCACTCGGCGAGCCATCAGCGTCCACAGATGTTGGTTACATACTTACTCTGCGCGGACAGGGAAGCATTGTGGCCACTTTTGAACAATACTCACCTTTTTCAATTCGCGTCAGGGCGTTATCAGAGCCATATGATGATGATACACAAGGTTATGTAGAGGTCCAAGTTCACAAAGGCAAGGCAATATTTGCATTTAGACATCCTGGAAACAAAACAGCCAATGTGCTGTATGGAAAAAGTACAACTCACGCGGAAAGCGGCTTAGATGAGGGGGAAAAAGTGTCCTACTGGTTGAGTTTTGATCGCAATCAAAGGATTGTCAAGTACGGAAAGGGATACATCATGGAAGAGACTACTCTGTTAACTCAGCAGTTTCCTCTGCCACAGAAGAATGTTCAAGATCCGTGGAATTTTATCTTTTCTCCAGACACAGTAAAGGAAGTAGCCATCAAAGATTTGAAATGTATAAAGGGGTTTGAAGCTTTCAAATTGGGTCTACAAAAGTTATTTTCATTCAGGCCTGATCTCAAGGGAATCGAAATTCCGAGCGATAACAGCCTGACCTTGTATCCACATCCATTAACCCATAACTGGCCTCCTCTTGTTTTAGACAGTACTAAAGCGTCACTCGTCGAACTGAGCAGTAATAAATATATGTTGTCAGCTAGCCTTCCACCAACATGCCGTGAACTTTATGAGAATGTCGCCTCCGCAAACGTGAATCTGGACTGGCCCCAAAGCAAGCCCAATCTGTCGGTTGCCATCGATTACAGCATCAAGACCCCAGGCAAGATTCTCCACGAAAAGCTCAAGGAAAAAGGCCAAGGAAATGGGATGTCATACCTCAGAATCACCCTCGGCTGCCATAGAGGATCTTCGCCTGGAATTCCTTATGTATTAGAGATCTGGCCACCGAAATCTTTCAGTCCAATCCACAACCATGGAAATGCTTATGCTGTCATTAAGGTTCTCCATGGAGCCATAAGAGTTAGCAACTATAATAAGACATGGAAAGGGAATCAGGAAGAACTCTTAAGTTTTACCGTGTCTAAAGGAGATATCACCTGGATGTCACCTAACTGGTTTCAAACACACAAACTCTCAAATGAGTCAGAGGATCACTTCTGCGCAACCATTCAATGCTACAAGTTTGGCGAAAGAGATGATATTCAATGGCCCTATTTTAATTATCTTGTTGGCGAATCGGTAGAAGACTTTCTGCCGATTGGCGATTTTGACTTTAAGAAACTGCGCGAAGAATTACTCGTAGAGTATAATGCAGACCATTAAATTGCCAAAGCGGGTCGGCTCCAAAATTTAATAAAGCAGCCCTCGTGAAGGTAGAAAGGTGAAGAATATGGCTGGAATTCGTTTGTTGTTTGTATAAGCCGACTTCCCATTAGGACGAGTATTTTTAAAAAGCCTTAAAAACGTGAAATGTCGGTGACTTTATTATTTAAATTTTTAAAATAACTAAGAAAGTACGCGCATTCTTCTATGGTTTATTGTGCCGGTAAACTCATTGGAAACTTAAAGTTATTTTATAAAAGCAATAGACCACGCTTTCTATGGGTTTACAAGCGTGATAACCCACTTGGGATGTTGGGAGAACACTCGAAAAGCTTGTAAATCACTGGCCTTCGGCTCGTGATTAACAAGCCCTTCTCGTGTAATCCTAACATCACGCCGGTAAACCTATAGAAAGTGTGGTCTTTTGCATAAATAAATTTTGAAGACCCAAATGTCATCGTTCGGCCGTAAACAGTCAAAATTTTGGTCGTTAGGCTTAATGAATGGAAGTTTCCGTTGGTTGTAAATAAAAGTTAATAAACACAATTTATTATGTTGAGTGTCAACTTTTTGCGACTTTCCATATCCGCGCGCTGTGATCGCTGATAGATCACATTTCGATCCACTCCTGATTTCAGCCTCTTTTTTTACTCTAGAAAGGTCTTAAGAACTTCAACCCATGGAAACTTTTCCACTTTTTCAAAGCAATTGATTTAATTTTTTTTTTCAAATTTTTCTTAAACGTACAGTATAGAAGAAAACTGACGGTTAGCCGTAATGAAAACCAAAATATTCACCGCTAACTGTAAAATCTAATAAGTGTGTGCCAAGACATAAGAATAAGATCGGTCGATCGCGCGCGTGGCACGAAAAATTGGATTTACTCAAATTTACTCAGTGCAAATATGGTTCCAAAGTGTTCAAACTAGAGGGAAATCAAAGGCAGAGATGGTAAATACCGCATTTACATGGGGTTGTAAATTCGAGGGCAAACGCGGTATTCACCTTCTTTGCCCTTGATTTAAACGTAGTTTGCACTTTTTTGTAACAAATTTGCACTGAGTACATTTGGTGTAAATCCAATTTTTCTTAAAATACTTAATTATCATATTTTTAAAACTGTTTAAGGACGTGGCACTTTTAACACAATTGGGTAAAGAACTGAAATAAATGGTCTCTGAGTACTTAAAAGTTCTTTTGCCCATGTTACGTTTAGGCTTCGGTGGATGCAGGTCCTTCCGTCCCAGTTACATGACCATGCAAATCCGCATTCCTTGTAAAATATTGAATCAGATATTTGGGCACCAGATTATTTAAGCACTTAAAAACTAGAAAAAAATTTGTGCATTTTCCTACTGGAAGCTAGATTTAAGCAGTTAAGCACACGGAAAGTGTCATTTGAGGTTTCTTCCGTAATGCGCGGTTCCTGCATGTAAGCGCTGTAGCTCTTTGTAACACCCCTCTGAGATTTCCCCCCACGCAACATCAGCATAGTCAAATAACGGCTGCAAGAGTGAAGTGTATACCCGTTAAGAGGCTTCCAGCGTGAGGCATGATCGTATAAGAGGCAAAAGCCCTAGCCTCCTACTGACTTTGCTGCTTACATACTCGACGCGATCTTTCCAAGAAAGGTTCTCACCTACATGGCTAAATTTAGGTACTCTTTCAAAAGTCTTTCTGTATAGTTGTATACAAAAATTTGGTGATTTGGCAAGATTCTGCCAGCTTCCAAAGAACATTGATTTTGTTTTACTCTGATTTAGGGTAACTGCTACTTTCTATCCATTGTACAACTTGATTTATATCATCCTGTACTATACCCTAGCTATCTCCGAGGTGCAAAGATTTGTAAAATATATTACAATATCATCGACATCCACAAAGTACATTACATATGCAGCCGTCTTTTCTCGCTTCTCGGCGCATGGAACGTTTCGCGCGAAACGTCTCAAGCGGCGTGTAGAGGAGCGAGTCAGGAGAGATGGCTGTATTCGCAGACAGTAGAAATGGGGGAGAAAAAATGGAGTAAAGGACTTGACATGGGAGAGCAAAGAAAATTATTATTGCTTGAAAAGTCATTTTCAATTATTATTTACCTGAGAAATCTAATTTTGCTCCCTTTTACCACAAAATTAACCTTTTTTAAATAAAGATTAACACCAGTGCAATTCAGACAACCGGTTTAAGGAGAAAATGAGCTCGTGTTTATTAGTCTGTGTAACTGATTGAAGTGGTAGCAAGTATTAAAAAATCAAGAGAGAATGAAAAATGGACACCACTCATACAAAGTATTTACAGACACATCTGCATTCTGCTAATCAAAGCTTAGACACTGCTGCAGTGTGTGGAACCTTTTTACAGTCAAAACCTCGTTAATACGGGACTACGAAGAAGCCATAGAAAGTATCCGTATCATGTTATAAAAGCCAAAACACATCTTTAAATGGAACAAAAAACCTAAAGAATTAAAAGAGGACATAAACATCGTCAAATTAAACATCTCAAACCTACACAAAGCCTTCATTCCTCGGACTAAATCCACGAAAGACTCAAAAATCGTTCAATTTACCTTACTTAATCAAAACCGTGCGTTCTCTGCAAAAAAAACTTTGAAATTAACGGTCTACAAATCATCGTATACGGTGTACTGTAGCGCTTGGAACATGAACTGAAGATTTTTTTACCTTCAAGAACTCCAGAGGGAAAGGTTTGTTACAACATACAGTTGACAATGAAGCGTCCGCATTAGCAAAGTTGACTTTCTATGAGAATCTGTTGACTGGGCAATAAACAAGCGCCTGTTGTCAGGCTCATTAACGAGTGTCCACATTAAGCGGGTTTAATTTAGAGAACCTGTATGGGCTTTTCCCAGGGAAAAATAAAACAGTGCGTAAAAATGAGGTTCCGTATTAGGCGGGTGCAAGAGGCGGGTGTCCGCAAAGCGGGGTTCGATGGTATCAATAATTTTTCAACTGTATGGGATCCAGATACAGATATTGCCAAAAATAACAACATCGATGAGATGGTCAAAAGAAGAGCTGCACGCTGAATCATAAATAGCTTCGACTCGCGACTCCAGATAGTGTCAACGAAATACTTTCAGCCCTGTAATGGAAGACATTAGAAAGTAGGCGAACACGCATAGTATGTTTATTAATACTGTATATAAAATGCGAAATAGGCTTGTCTTCAACGAAGATAGTAAACTACAACCAGGACTCTTTTGAGCGAGTTGAGTACAATTGACCTATGCTTGCAAGCAGCCGATTGCCACAAGGGATTATTATAACTATTTCTTCTATCCAAGGACTATTTCAAAAGGGAACAAACTCCCAAGGGAAATTGCATTGTCCAGTTCACCCGCTGCATTTAAAACTATTTGCCAAACAAACAACCTTAAAGACAAAGGAAACTTTTAATATTATGTCTTTTTCTTTCTATTCAAAATAAAATTTCACAGTTTTAAGCCAAAGAGAGGTAAATCCAGAGCTATTTAGTATCAATCGATCCAATCCTTTCAAAACCTTTCTGCGAGCGATGGAGTAGGATTTCAGCAGCTTGAAAGAGTCTGTAGCAGCCATTAATCCACAAAGAATGTGGTGAACTGGTGGAATAAAGTCAGTTGTAAAGTTTCTTTGAATCTGGGTTTCCTGTTGAGCACCAGAGAATTTTCCAAGAAGACTTGAGGCTAACAAGCGAATCCACATGTCTGTCCAGTCTTCAATTTCAGCAAGACAATCGTACTCATTTTCTTTGCTTAAGTATGATTCATACAACCTGACAAAACAGAACAATCCTACTATAACCCTGGAGTAAAACTGATGAGGAATTATGTCCAGGAGTTCTGTACATTCCAGCAATAAGGTGTGCCGTTGCTCTGTAGTTAGTTCATAAAGAGAGGCTGACGCCAGGTCATTTTTGTTTATAAAGTCCATAGGATTCGGCAGTTCAACCTTGATCGGTCCCGTCAGTTTCCTCTTTTGCTGATCCTCCACTCTGAAAACAAAATGAAAATGTCTTGGTCCAAAACCAAAGATGTTTGGCATAGTATTGCAACTTAATGCAGTTAAATGAAATTTACTGCAGGTAACAACAAGGAGCACCATCTCGTGTTGTCAGTCACCGGTCAGTTTGGTGGTGCAGGCAGGTGTGACAAGTGCCATTGAGTAAATGGTTGTATTTGTTATGAACATTAGTGTTACAAAATGTGGCAATGTGAATATTTAAGTAGGCTATATAAATTGCTTCTTGATTTATTAAACTAAAGTGAGCATATTTCCCTCATGTAGCGGTCTCTTACAAGACAGTGTTTCAGCAGGTTCAAGGTCAGCCTGCTTGCATCAGCTCCATGTGCCACCAGGCTTCATTTAACCACTGGAACTTGCATGAATCCCCATCCCTTCACCCCTTTTTTAAAATTCCTATCATTTTGACTGGAGTCATGTTCAGTTGGTGTGGAGGCTAATAACTGGGAGGCATTGATTTGTTAGCCATGGGGGGTGGGGAGGGGTAATGGAAAAGGCCCCAGCAAGAAGATACAGTAATCAGTGAATGAATTCATGTTTCAGCTGAATTACAGACACTAGACCAACAAACACATCATTTACACAATCCATTTAAACACGCACCATTCAGGAAGTGCTGCCCAGTACTCAACAATGTCAGATTAACCATAGTGTAAAGTTACCCAAAGTAGAGCACATTCACCTTGGAGTTGGTGCAAAAAAATGCTAAAGCTGATCACCATTGCTGCTTAAAAAGGAAAAAACTTCAAAAGTTTAAATTTGATGTTATGCTCATATTTTCATGAGTACATTTAACTCTGTTTGGTTGTATTGATCTTTACTTTGTCAATATCAGTATGATTTATGGCTTAGTCAATTCCAAGCATGCCCACCAAAATTTAACCCACCAAAAAGTCCCAGCCGAATTTCCTAGCCATAAAATTTCCAGAAAGCATTGAATGATATAACACAAAAAATAGAAACAGTTTTGAATACCCAAAAAAATCCCTACTTAACTCAACCTACCCAAAAAGTACTTGCCAAAATTTTCCTTCTCAAAAAAATCCCAAAATCCAAAATTTCAAAGCCAAAACCGCAGTTCTTTCGATCATCCCTGTCACTTGAAATCCAGAGGAACGCATTCCAAATGAAGCCCTTTGAATAGCTCTGCTCTCTGCATGTTAATACTGCTACAAACGAAATATCTCTTGTCATTTTGCACTGGTCATTAGTATCTGTTTCACAGTTCAAGTAAAATCACTCTAATCCCGCATTCAGCTAGTGCGCACAGAATTATGTGAGTTACTGGTATGCGAACTTCGATGTAAACACTTCATTTGCACTTTAATGCGATTCCTTTAATTTTTCTTTGAGAATAAAGAGAACAAGTTCCACATTTCTCATTTTTAATTTCTGATTTGTTTATATTGAAAAAACTTAAATAACTGAGGCTCTCTAGTATAGAAAAAGTCTACAATCATCCGTCACACAAACTTTCAACCAAAATTTATTAAGTTGTTTATGTAACCGCTATGCATCTTGTTTTAAAACTTTCATCAGAGTCAAGGGATTTTCCCAATGTAGTTTTTGGAAAAATTATGGTCCCAAATAGAGATGCGCATTCGCAAACAGTAGTTATTGTCGATGCAATGCAATAGACGTTTCATTCCAGGAGAAACTGGATGGCCTGTTGTGAAGTGTGGTTGAGAAATAATTGTCAGAGTGAGCCGTTCAGTCATTTTAGGAACCCGTTTGGAAATTTTGATGAGCCGTTCGAATGGGTAAGTAAGCCGTTCGCCCATTCATGTTACCCGTTCGAAAAACTTAATAACCTGTTCAGTCGTTTGATGAACCCGTTCGAACAGGGTGAGTGAGCCGTTCGCACATTCGTGTTAGCCGTTCAAAAAACTTAAAAATCCATTCAGCCGTTTAATGACCCCATTCAAACAGAAGAATGAGCCTTTTGCAACCCATTCAGAAGCCGTGCCTTTCACCTGTTTAATGGAAAGCTGTTAGGTATGTTTTCCCTTGAGAAGCCTGGCTCTCTGGGTATTAAGCCTTGAGATGTAGCATGCACCTCTAAATTCGATTGCGATGGTGGGGGGTTCCATTTTGATTCTTTCAAACATTCATGTAGTGTTGCACAATATGTCTCTTTTTTCTGGGAACTGATGTTTCATGTTTGGTGACCATTTTACAATTTTAGGTCGCCAAAAGGAGACTTTGAAAAAAGTTGAGCTCAGAACATTTTATTGTAAAAATCTTACATGTCAGTCTCAGCACATTAATTTTAATACTACAAACAGAATAAGTTTCTAGGACCTAGGGTCACTCAGTTGTACCATTCTCTTAGTTCATTCTAAATTGTTTTAAAAGGGTTCTAAAGAAAAAGTTGGTTGCAGCAAATCAACTTTACGATGCAGCAAAATGACTTAGTCGCGAAAAGACCATTAACCCCTCTGTTTCAGTGTAAAACTCGATGTGAAGCACGTTTCTTTTGGCTTCTTAGCTTAAAGAACGAGGAATACAAATGAGTAACGTCCTTATTTCTGCTCGTGGCTTAACGACACGTGAAAAGTTCTGACTATATTGTGGAAAGATCTGACTACTAAGTGGAACGATCTGGCTTAGAACTATCTGACCATGGAACGAAGTGACTGGATACCCTTTGTTATATGATTCCAATTAAAATCTTGAGCTAGTAACGTGGACCGTAACGTGGAAACGGACGCAACAACTCCCAACATTGTTGGACCGTCCCTTTGCACGTAGCTTAACGTTTCACCGGTTTCAAACTTTGCGCAACAACATGCGACAGGTATTGTACCCTATTTTTGACTGCTTTCTTAAGTGGACAGGGTGTGCAAACGGACGCAACATGTAACATCCAACAACGTTGGGAGTTGCTGGCCAACATGTTGCGTCTGTTTGCATGGGGCTCCAAGTACCTCTCTATCCAGACGCTCGAACAATAGTCAGCGCATTCCGTGGATGAAGCAGACACCACTCCAAACAAAATCCGAGACAACAGAGAAGATAAGCATGGTTTAGCCATGTTCTCTCCATGCAAAATACCACTTGCCAAGAGTCTTCGTTCTAGGATAAAAACAGCAGCAGGTCGCAAAGATTTGTGAAATGCCAGTGTAGTCCGCAAGCACTTTAAAGTAATATCCGTTTCTTTGAAGACATGAAGAAGTTCTTTGACCACATTCTGATGTTGGTTTGGGCACTTGAGGGCAGTATCGAGCAAGGAATGTATTAATTTTGGAGATAGGAAATCGCATTTTTCAACAACTGCCTCCGCCATTACGATGTGGTTTAATGCTATGGTTTTCCGCTGGCTTTGATGATCGATTTGCAAATTTTATCTAATAACCAATCAGCGACGCCCAAGAAACGGCGTCATCCGTTCGAAAAATGGCGGACAACAGAAAAAGCTTTGCTCCTTCGATGGGAGAAGTTCATTCAACTGGTAGTATTCCTTCGTCCACTTTTCATTGGCATTTACTTAATTAAGACACCGAGACGTTTACAGTATTTCCATTTCTGTTTTCACTTCAGAACTTATGCGCGAAAAACTTGAAAGATGGCGTCGAATGACTGGAAGGAGGTCAGCAGTTGTCAATTCCTCGTCTGTTTACAACCGATCACGATCAGCTGTTTTGTTAAACATTAATGGGAAGAACAAGAAAGGAAAGGAAAGGTGAGGAGTGGATCCTGCTAGCTTGGATATTCTAATTACTTTTTTTCTCCCTGGTTAGGCTTTGATGCCTGCAAGATTTGTAAAGTTAGAAGCGACATTGTGAATAAGCTTGAAGACATTCAATGCAACGTCAGCTTAAGCTGATCCTACTCGCAGTTGAAAGCTTATCCAGCTTTGTTTAATTTAAATTTGCTTTTAAAGAAGTTAAAACATTATCATATTGTATTATGCGTGTGGACCAGCAATAGCCAGTGTTTTTATTAAGCTTAAATATTGATGTTTCTCACAGTTTCTTTGTATTATTTTCTGGTATTGTATCAGGATTATAAAAGGATCACAGTCCAGTTCACAACTTAAGGTATTAAAGTATACCAGTAATTACCGGTATGTGTGTTGTAAAGAGAATAATATTTAATTCATCTCGTTATGCCTGAAGGAAACGAGGGGTGGGCTGAGGTGTGGACCTTGATCATTGTTGCTGAACTGAATTCTTGGTTTGCAACCACGTGACAAGGCGGCCATGTTGGGGGTCAAGACAAAAGAATATTTCCTCGAAGAATTTACATGAAAATAGAGTTTAGTTCCCAGAGGAGAGAAAGGCTTTTGTTCTTGACCACCAACATGGCCGCCATGACGTCACGTGCAAACCAGCAATGTAGATCAAACATTAGAAGAAAATTCACCAGCGTAAAAGAGTGTGAGGGTTTTGACCAATTCTTGGTGTCAACAATGTGACAAATTTTTGTAGTTTATAAATTATTATTATTATTATCATTGTCATTATCATAATCAGATCGTTATCATTATTATTATTATTATTATTATTATTATTATTGCTTGATTCTCTCCAGATCTCTGGTGTTTTTCTAGGTCGTCTAAGCCGTGTTTCAGCAGCTTCCCACTGCGTAGAGACGTAACACTTTTTGCAAGATATAAGCAGTACCAAGCATGGCTGGCAACTGTGCATGTCCAAAAATGTCAGGCAGACTTAAACTCCGAAACCAGGCCCTTGCATTCTTTTAGATAGATGTTATTATTAAATAGTAGTAGTGGCATTTTTATTATCATTATTTTTATTATCATTATTAGGATCACAATTTTACAAGATTTTGATATTTTTAAGGCTCAAACAGGATATAATAGAATTGGTGATCAGTCAGTGGGGTCAGAAAGCCTTGGTTGTCCAAAAAAGAGAAGAGAAACATTTTTGATTCAACAGAAAAAAGCTCCCCTTACTAACCATGGCTTAGAGAGTAATACTGCACTTGGAGATGCAGGTACAAAACAGTACAGGGACAAAACTCTAAGCATGAGGTGTGTATCATTTATCACTATTGTTCTCTCTTTTTTTTTCAATTTTTGTGACACTTGTTGCTCATATTTAAAAAAAACTTTGATGTTGGTAAAAAAAAAACTCATTAACTGCAAGCAAAATTCTCGAACATTTTTTTTTTAATTGTGTGTGTAACAAGTTTCCATTTTCCATGCTTTCAGTGAGAGGCTCAAATTGTGGAGAACTGAAAAGAGGTGAGTAAATCAATTTGTCGTAAATTTGAAATGTATATGGCAAAACAGATTTCAACCACTCACTTAGTTATTGTCTCCTGCAACTTAAGGGCACTAATAATAAAGCAGTCACTTTCCTGCTGCAAAGGTTTCAACTGCATATACTAGGGTCTGATGGATTGTGCTCATGAAATAGAGTAATATATTTGCTTTTTGGTGTCATCTTGAATTATACTCAAAACTATGCTTGGTTGTAGCCTTATTGTGCCTTAATTATTATGCAGGAAAAAATGACATGTTTCCCTGTCGTAACAACTAAATGAACACTTTCTTGCAGTCTTTTATATTTTACTTTTGAAAGAAAAAAAACAAGATAGTGTTTACTTTTTAATTTGGAAGCTTGACATAATGAGATAAGTGGCTCTTAGACTAGGTTAAAGTGCAGGTTCTTTTATGATTACAGGTCACTGGTTTATTGATGTAGATAAACTCACCAAAATAATAGTTTCCCCTTGAGAAAAACCAGGGTTCAAAGAAAAGTTTGATTTCAGCTTGTCCTTAGCTTTGGGCAAATGGCACTCACATTTTTCCTGCTAAGGGCAACTTCTTGCTTGTGTCACCCCATTATGGGGGGTTGACCCCAGGGAATCCTTGAGCAAATCCCCCCACCCTAGAATAATAGTTTATTATTTCTCCTTAGCCCCTAACCCAAGGCAACAGTAGCAGTACTTCAAGGGACTTTCACATTGCAAAAAAATTAATTTGTTTCTTCTTGTTTCATAAAAATACTCTTTTATTGTGTGGCGGTATTAAAGGTTTACGAAAAAGTCAGCAAATAAACTAGTTCACTCTGGAATTTGCCTGTGTTGCAGACATAATTTTTAACCCTGGTTGATAACATTAGAATTGAGCTGGCATTATGCATGATACTCCAGATACATATTTCATGTATAAAAATACTCAATTTTTGCCTGCATAATCTGTGAGACCATAGTGCCTTTGGTTGTATCATGCTTTTTGTAGAAGTGATGTTGGACAACAGAAACCCTTTTTACAATAAAATTTAAGTACCCTTGTAATAGGTTACTAATGATTTCAATAATTCAGGAGTCATCTCTTTTATTTACATTTAATTCAGAAAAAGCAGCGAGGACAAGCCTGCTGAGAAGAAAAGACAACAGTTAACAAAAGTTAAGAGAAAGTCGGATAGTAAAGAAAATACAAAACATTACCAAAAACTGTAAGTGAGAATTAATTATTAAATGACATGTATTACTTTGAGTTCCCTCACAAGTACTCAGATTTGACTTCACTTGATTACCACGCTTGACGTTTTTAATATTGCCAAGCTTATAGTTAATATTTGCGCTTCCATGTTCAAGTAGTTTTTTTTTCTTTTGTTTTGTTTTCACCGCTTAAAAAGACGGGAACCTGTAAAGAAATAACTAAGGCTACCTCCACACGTATCCGGATATATTTTAAAAAGGGAGATTTTTTCTCCGTTGTCAAAAAAATGCGGGTCCGCGCATACCACATTCAAATCGTTTTTTCTCCCGTCCACCAAAAAAAAATCGCTAAAAAAAATGGGAATTACGATAGCATTTTTAAGGAGCATGCACAATGGTAGAAGTATATGATGTTCGAAAACCTCCCTTTTCGGCCGCCCACAGTTAAATGAAAAGCCGATGTTTTCAAAGATCTCCACTCTGTTGAGTGTCTTGAAAAGATTCATTTTCCGTGACCCTTTTCACCGGATACGTGTGGACAGTCGGCCAAATCAGTGATAAACCTCCCTTTTCCCAAAAAAACGGCCAATATGTGTGGTCGGGACGTACTGATGTGGGTAATGGTCCTTCAACGGTTAATTCTACGCCTTGTAAGACTCATTACCTTACAACAGTCCTTGCACACGTCACAACTGCTTAGGTGCCCCAATTGGCGGGGAAATTGTTCGATTCCTGGGCGATTTTGGTGTACCCTATTTCAGGCGTCACTCCGCAGAGCCATTGCACTCCACCTCTGTTAAGTATGCTGGAGCCATCATTTAGCCATTGCACTGACCATTGCAGCATTGGCTCTGGGTCCATGGCTGAGGACACCTGAAAAAAAAAACACGTGCAGACGGAGCCTAATTCAACGAATATACTCGAGTAGCCAGGGGGCAGGTCATGTGTCATATATTGAATCTAGAAAACAGACTAGCTTTACTGCTCATCACGACTCACTCAATACCTAACTGGTAGCTTCCTATAGCGCTCCGGATGTTTAATTTTCACTAAGTTTTATTTGTTGTCGGTAAATTCCATTTCGCCAAAGAGTTCATTAGCTGCCACTAAAAGTCATTCATGCTATCGCAAAGATTCATATGCTATTGCTAAAGCTCCATGCAAACGGACACAACCGATTGTTGGCCAACAACATACAACAACATGCAACAGGATGTGCAAACGGACGCAACATGTGGGTAACATCCAACAATCTTGCGTCCGTTTGCACATAAAACTTATTTTCTGTCGCTAAACTCATTCGCTGTCGTTAAAACTTTTTCGCTGTCATGTATAACCCATTCACTATCTCAACACTTCATTCGCTGTTGCTATAAGTCTTCCTCTATCGCGAAAACTTAACTGCATTTGTTGTCTCTAACATTTATTTGCTATCGCTAAAGTCTATTCGTCCCTGGTGGGACTAGGATGAAATTTCAAACAACTGATCAATAAAGGAAATCCCTTTCTATTAACTACAGCAGCCTTCGATGCAACTGGAAGAAACAGATAATTCGCCCCATGTAATGTGATTCCGGGAATTTTATGTGGTGGAATCCAGAATCCTGGGCTTTGGAATCCGGAATACAGTTATAAGTATCTAAAATCCAAAACCTGGATTTCAGAATCCAAGACTGTCTTGGATTCCCTTACATGGTGCCGAAATGTGAGGAGATAGGGGCGGAGAGTCGGATGATAAGTTCCCGTCCCCACCCTCTCACTCTACATATTAACAAAACGCGCCAATTTTCGTGCATTTATGGAGTGAAAATACGAGAAAACAGAGCGCTTAGAACGGTCTTACTATTATCCATAAAAAGCGTAGCAATGATTAAAACCCCCTCCCAAAATCTACAAAGGATACTAAGAGGTGTTATTTAATAATATTTACCATATGTTTTACTTTGTAAACCCTTAGAGAAAATGACACCAAAAATTATTGCACTCCTGCCAGTAAAAAGCAAACGAACTCAGTTGTCAGGAAAACACGCTTCGTTACCCCATCCAGTCAGCGCAAATATGGTACGCTACAGTCAAAAGGTGCATTGCAGTCTACCCAAAAATCCACAGTGAATACAATGAACAGGAAAAAGGAGACCACAGTTAGGACAGAAGCCAGTACAGGGGGGTGTGGAGCTGAATCCGACAACATGAAGTCATACAAAGACAAAACTCTTGATATGAGGTATGATGATGACAGTTAGCTTAGTGAAACACAGTTGAGTGTCATCCACGTTTTTCAATTTCTCTGAGTTGTTGAGAAAATCAATACGGTGTGAACGCCAGGGACTGAAATTCCCAGTTATAGTATCTTGTTCTCAGGCCTATGGATACCGGGGGGCAATGTGAGCCAATTACCGCAAAACACATGGAGATTTGCGCCTCTTCGAACCACTTGTTTAGCTATTCGTTCTTTCCAACTTCGCGCACACTTAATACGGGGCAAACGAGTAACCAACGGAGACACTTTATTAGAAAGGATCAGTCCTTTCACTCTGCTTTCCTGGGTGCATGCCTATAGTTCCTTGCAGTGAGACTACTCGAACAGAGGCACTTGGAAGAAGATTTTCCAATCACAACATTTTTTTGAAAACACTGAAAAGATTCTCAAGTTTTTTTATTCTGCAAACGGAACAGTAAAATTTAAGGTTCAACTATGCAACCGTTAAAAACGTTACTTACCTGACCTCTCGGGGAACAGTCCTCAAATTTGTGAATGTTATTGGTCCGTTTGCCAAAAAACTTGAGAATCCTTTTTTTTCAAAAACCGTTGTGATTGGATAATCTTCTTCCAAGTGCCCCGGTTCGAGAAGTCGCACTGTAAAGAGAATACAGTTGTTTCCTTCGTCAAAAAGGATGCTTGTTTGAGGCTACACTGAATGTGATGTATGTCATACTAGCTCACTGCTAGCTTTCCTAGATAGGTCGGGAAAGAGGAAGCTTTCTACATCTTTGAACAAACTGTTGAAAAAGCGGTTCCTCAACGGAAAACGAAACTCATTCTCAATGCTGACACAACAGAGTGCATTTGTGCAGATAAAATGCACAGGTTCGATATAAAACAGCGACTACTATATTATAACGACGTACTTCTTTGTCTCGTACTATTCCATGCATGTATTAACATTTTAGCTGAAAAATTCTTCGTAAATATGTTCCTTCTTTCTCAACTTTTCACTAGAGAAATATTTACTAGCAAATGTCTGCTGAAGGATATTCTAATGACTCGCAACTCCCAAAAACCACTCCCATTTTGCGAGTTTGCGACTGTTACTTTCTAACCCTGTAATTTACTCAAGATATCTTTTTCTCATGTAGAGAACGATTGGAGCTCTGGCGCGCAGAAAAAGGGTAAGCTAAAAGCTCACTTTTTGTATTTAAATAATTTATTTGAAATGTTGGTTGATTTGGGATGTTTCAGACCCGTAACCAGTGGCGCCAGTTAGATTTGTGTACGAGTACGTAAGACTTTGGAATTTCGAGCTCGTTGTGTCTCCGGAGCCATAATACTTTTCTCTTGCTGACTAGCACATATATAAATTAAATGTAAGGGATAAGATCGTGATTGGTGTACCGATAATATAAGTTAAGATATGAGGCAAGCATTTGGTTACTCTTAGTCACTGAGCTCGTAGCCCAATATAAAAGTCCCTAGCATGGAGGAAACCATGAAAGCTGCGGCGGTAAACATATTAAGTGTCTTGTGTGTGCTTTGGGGGAAGGTATAATGGCTAAAACAGCTGTCAAAAAACAATTTTTTTGCGACACTACCACGTCGATTAGAATTTTCATGGTCTGGCTACGGCCCAGAGTATTTTAAAAATAAAATGTTCTTCTATGGTTATACATCCAACAGGAAGAAACCAAAATACAAGACACCAGCTTTTGTGAAGATTCCCAGAAGCGTCCAAGAACTGAACGTACATGAGAAAAAGAGACTTTCTTTTGATTGTCATGAAGAAAGTAACGATGCACGAGCCAAGCAGTCTCGGGCCGTTTCACCTGGACAAGGAGAAAATATTGAAGAAAATCTACGAGAGTGCTTAAAACAGTTAGAAGAGGTAAGAGAAAAGGGCATTTTTTCATTCGTAACTAATAACATTTATGTATGATATGGAGGTCCTGTATTTAGCTTGTACGTCCCGCGACGTAAAGATTTATGTAGACTTGGTTTGAGACCTATTTATCAGTCTTTGAGTAGACTCTGAAACATGACGATGAAGGCATATTTTTGCGCTACCAATATGCAAATTAAACGACTTGTGGGCAAGTTTAAAATTTATGCAACTGGCACCTGGAATTACCCTGCAAAAACGGATCAATTTTATTTGAAAATGAGTAGTAACAGAGGTCTTTGAAACCTCTTATTTCATCGCCCCGCTATTTGTTAAAGGGTAGTTTCCAAACAAATCCTGTCGAGCTGCTACATCATTTTCAAGTCTTTGACTCTTGGAGTTCTGTAACGTATTTCTCGGAAAACACCGTCTTCAAAACATGATCAAAGTCGTTGCATTGTAATAAGCCACTATTGGCGAGGTGAACAGCTTGTCGGCAAGAACATTGAATAAAACCCCTGACAGAGGTGATAAGTGAAAACTGGGCCTCAGTAAACTGCAAGTTTCAACTCGGTTTACACCAGCTGTGGCAAAAACCAATGTGCGCGATAGTGTGGTCCTCACAGGAATGATATTTCCCCGTTTTACAAACCGTGTAAACACTTAAGTTTGTATGGCTGACCTCTAAGTCCAACAAACGCTTCAACTATACTACCAAAGTAAGTTGACTGGGGAAGTACGGCATCTTCCATAACGGAAGTCACAATTTAACTTGAAGTTTCATCTGTTCTCTTCACCGCAGGGCGAATGTGACCTGGAGAAAGTGGCAGCCAAACTAGACTTGTATAACTCAGCATGTCCACACACTACGCAGATAGCTAACTACTGGCTGTGTCGCGCCAAGATTGCACAGAAAGAAAACGACTTTGATCGTGTGGTTTGCCTGTACGAACAAGCCTTGGTTTTCAAAGCCCAGGTATTTTACTTCACTATATCCTTCCCTTTTCCCCCCTCCTTCCTAGTATTCCGTTATAAATCAGCCAAAAGCCGAACGCATTCGTCTTCTTCCACGTAACAAACAAAACAGCGCTCGTTCATCGTAATCCAAAAAAATTAAACTATCCAAAACAGGCGAGTTCGTCTCAGTATCGGCTATAACAACGAAAACCCTCTGACATTCATCTCTATCCATAAATCCAACCAAATAAGCGCGTGTTTACTTCCGTTTCCTAAACCAATGAAATTCCTTCAGATCATTTTGATTTGTTTACGTGTGACTATTTTGATGAGTTGTCATCAGGTTGATGTGCTCCTCTGCAAGTTCAACACTTGTAAATACTATCACTCAGTTTACAACGAGTTATTTTTCTTTCATTTTTTTTTTTTTTTTTTCAAGCATCGCAAAGGAGAGGTCCCGCAAAAAATAATCCATGGGCCACAGGGGTTCGACCAATTTACCTTTGCAAATTTGTTTTAATTCCACTGTACACAAGGCTCAGTTTTCAGTCTTTGAAAAAGGAGCTTAAGCAATCACAAAAATGACTGCAATGAAAAAGGCACTACAAAATTTATTTCCATTCTTTCAGATTTCACTTTTCCGATTATGCCGCCCTGATTTCCTAACGTTGAATTGTCAGGAACTGCATCCATATTCAATGCACAGAGAAAGGAAAGGGTGCGTCCTACGAAAGTCCATCGCTCTCGCGCTTCATCCCGCGTACCGCTCGCGCGTGACCTCTCACGATATTCACCAAATAGAGTGCTTGCTCGCAGACTAATGAGTGGACACTGACTGAGAAGAATCCACCTCATGGAAAGTTAAGTTAAAGACAGACAAATAAGATGCAGACACGATTAACCAGTCACCTATTTCGCCTAGGTCAGAGGAAGGTGTTTGACTTACCGGGCTTTTGAGAGAGTTATTTGTAATTTAACTGTCTGTTTTGTAGCCGGAATCCTTGATCAGGGATGCCGTGTGCTCGTTCGTAAAGTTCATGAAGGAACATGGCAGTCAAGGTAGTAATTCAATTTAAATTAGAAGATGTTTTTGTATGTATTCAGTATTGAATGGGTTGTGTGTTCTACAATTATTACTCTTCTATGTTGTATTCCCAGAGGAGACAATAGATGAGTTTTGCGGGTTACCAGCAGCATCACCAACTGAGTCTAAGACTGACGATAAGGACACTTCTTTAGAGGAACTGAATTCCTCTATTATCAAGTTCTGCCTCACGGAAGCCACGCCTTACAGAAAGAGGTAAATGATACTGAGTTAGACTGCGAGCAGCTATCCTTCTTTCCTCATAGCCACGCGCGGCGAGCTAGAAATTAAAGTAAAACTTATGCAAATCTGAATGGTAAGGAGGAGAAATGCGTCCTCTTTCCTCGCGGCTTCGCTTCTTGCCCCTTACGCATGCTTTTGATCTACTACGAGCCAAAAGAAAAATAAGAGACTGCTCGCAGTCTAATACCGACTCAATGAGCATTATTAAAATTGAGCTAAAAGCAAGACGTCAGATGCACAGCAGGTTAAAGAAAAAAAGTTAAATTATTGGAATTTGTCTCAGACGGACCCCTCTTTTGGCTTGTTCAGATGAGAGAACGTTTTAAAAGTTTGTTTTTGTTCCTGACTTGCTGATAATTTAATTCCAACTGTTATTCTGCAAATAACCCATAAACTCCACAGTTAATTCTCTGTTTCATCAATTGTTTTACATTGCAACGCCGGCCGCACAACATTGTATATGTACTCTTCCCATTCGTTCCTCGCCGTGATCCATCATCTCGGTTACCCCCGGCTTGCTCCCGTCAGGCATCGCACTTTAGTCGGTGGACCAACTGTAGATGTAATCCGGAGGTCACGTGGGTTGAATTCCACCGAGTTTAAAAGATTTTTCCCTGTCGTGTGTAGTCCCCTAATTCCCTTTACTAGGGCTAACTCTCAGACTGTGGGATGAATGGGTTATTTGTAACTTGAATTTTCACGATCCAGAGTTATTTTTCAGTTCCATCACTTAGTTATAACTCAGTTAGGTTTTATGGAGGTAATTGTGTTAAAATATTCAGATTGATTTTTCTTATGCGTTTCCTTAAAAAAATTTAGTTGTGTATGAAGCAATAAATTAATCAACGTTATCCACAAGGCTGATAAGTCCTGCATGGCAAACGAAAGGACAATTTTTCCTCCAATGTAGACGATGATTTTGTGATCAGGAAATGCCTATAACAATAAGTTTACATTCAACAAACAAATGCTATTGACATCGCGATAATATTTCTAAATCCCCTAGGTTCAAAGCAACATTCGGCAAATCTGTGTTGACACCAGTGCGCAGGTCCGTTCGTCTGGAGCGCGTCAGTACCCAGCATCCCTCAGTGCTCCAGGAACATGATCTCACTGTTAGAAAACTGGAAGAACTTCCGGAGAACGTTCAAAACAACCTACTGTTCAAACCAAACTTTGCTGTCAACGCTGAACTTAACGAGGCCTGGACCGAGTTGCAGCTTGACTTTAATCAATAATCTGAATCAATCGACAGATTGTGTGATTTTGTGTACAAAAGGGGTAGTTTCGTTTCCGGGGTTTACTTAGTGTTGGTATCAGCATTACGCCTCACTGAAGAGTAGGACGCTCATTGTCTCTTATGTCACAATTTAGTAAAACTACATGAGGTGGTTCCTTGCCAGTTCTAAGCATTGAACAAAACAAAACAAGTTTAATCGTTGCAGCAATAACCTTGGTAAGGATTTTAAACAAAACGGCAGCGTAAAATTTTATATAAAAATTCCATGAAGAGCTAAAAGGAAACGTTAAAATGTTAAAAGGTAGATTTGATTTAGTGTCCAAGACGCACAAAGAGTTTGACTCGATGTCTCGTCTTTAATTTGTTTAGTGAACGTAATAAGATATTCCACAATGCATTTCCTGTTTTTAGTGTGTTGAGGTCTTATAGTTTCCTTCAATTTCGAGTTATTCTGTAATATTTTGATAATGGAACTGTTCGTAAGTTTTTATTTTCTGAAGTGTCTGAAATGTAAGTAGGGGAAAATATTATGTCCAAAGCCCGTAATCTCAGGAGTCATTCAATTAAAAAAACTGTTGGTATAATAATCCATTTCTTGTATGTCTAGTGTATTTATCTTTACCGTCATTACCACAGCGTAGAAGAAAAAAAATGAATAAATAAAAATACCCACTTAAAGATCCCGTTTACACGGGTAAGGACATATTTTTGAACGGACAAAAACTTGCACAGATCTTTTCACGTTTTATGGAGGCCGTTTAGAAGCCACGACGAAATTTTCTTTCTTCGCCAGACAGAAGTGGGCGAGTTGGAATAATCAAGACAGAGAGTGCAAGAACGCGAATACGCCTTTTCCACATTTCCCATAATGCACCTTATTTGCCCCCCAAATTTTGCAAAAGCATTGTTTTCAATTTTTCTTGTGACGGCTGTGAAACCCAGGAGAAATAAAAAACAAAGGTTATGCAAAATTTGGGGTGCAAATAAGGTGCATTATGGGAAATGTGGAGGTGTCGTGTTCACTTTTTCAGCCACGTTTTTCAGGTTCGCTCGCGGCCAGGAGAGATGAGTTACTATGTAGCCTGTTCCAGGCTCATACACAGTGGGGAAGACGCGAAAGTAAAAGGCACGCGAAATTCGTCTTCACGTTTTCTCAATCTAACAGGCTAGTGACGATGAGCCTTCCCCAGTGGTCAGCGGTATATTTTTTCAGTAACCATACATAAAGTACATACACAAAAACCAACATGGCGTCCCACGTGCAGTTTCATCACCGAAAGCAGTATTTTATTTTACAAGCATAGTATATCATCGAAGTACAATTTTCAACACTTTTAGCCATGCTCAAGTCCAAGGTATACGTAAAGAAGACGCGTAAGGGAGGAGTTATGAAAGTAGTACGTGAACATTACCTGAGAGATGATGTTTGGTGTGGGGCAAGCCACTGCATGAACTGCGGACAGACAGAAGACAATTTACTTGATCCATCACCGCAGAGCTCGTCAAAGCTGTGCAGCTTCCCACATTATTTATTACTAGACACAAACATTGTGTTACATCAGGTTAGAAGTCTTTTTTAATAGTATACTAGACACAAATAATGTGTTACACCCCCGGGGTTACATCAAGTTAGAAATCTTTCTAGAAAATGCAGTTGAACCTCCATTACGCGGGCACCCTCTATTTAGCGTCCAAAAATCAAAGTCCTGTGATAACAAAATTCTGGAAAGGATCTGTAAGTGAAAACTCTTTTCAATAAACCTCCTCCTCCATCAAGCCTTTTGGGCATTCTGGTCAGAGTTCTATCGTTTTGACCTCTATTAAGTGGCCATCAAGCGCTTGACACACTTAGTTTGGCTTTATTTTTTAAGATATGATGAAGGAAAATACATGCCAGTCTGAGATAAAAGGGGACCGCTGATTGTGGACCAAGTAATGCCGCTCCCATTGAGCAATTTCAGAAAATATCTATACGATAACACAGACGGCTTACGTATTTAAGCCCCCCTGGTCTTCGGAATGTGTTATCCCCCCATGCCCTCAGAATTCCATATCGTCAACCTTCTTCCTGTTTGGATTTTCCATTTTTTCTCCAAACCCTTCAGATCAGAATATACAAACAGGGTTCACAAACACGTGTACGCCCAATTTGGCTTATTTTATGCCAAATTATTTCAAACGACTCTCCTTCTGTTCAGTGCAGCTGGTAATCAAGTGTATTGTTACCACTGTTTAACAGATGCAGCCTATATTAACTTTATTTATTATTCATTCAAAATGTTTCCCCAATTCTGATTGGCTAAAAGCACCCGCATAATTCACCATAACCAGTCACTGATGACCAAATTTGGAAGAATTTCATGTTTAATGAGGAAATGACGTCAAAAATACAGCCTTCTACAGGTTCATGCACTGTTAACCAAGAAGACCTGGGGACGAGGTTGAGTTGTTTTGGTTGTGAACTTGAAAAATGGCGGACATTTCACTCGTTTCAAGAGTAAGAACTAGGCGAAAAAATAGCTAAAAACATAGTAAGAACAGCAAGAAGACAACTCGAAGGGCGACATCTGCTAATTGGAGAATATTTGCGGAGCTGAACAACCCTTAACGTGCACTATCGAAGATGAACTTAACATTGATGGATCGATGGAGGTAAACATGTTTAGCCATGTTTTTAAACTAGGAATTATTTTGAATGAATAATAAAACAATTATTGAATTCGGCTTTCGTATCATATGAAGAATTATGGAGATCTCCGAGGGTGTTATTCGCCTCGGCTGATAACACCCTCCTCGATCTCCATAACTCTTCATAAGATACTCAGCCTCATTCATTAATTGTTAAATATTTTCCCCAGACTGGTACGAAACATTAAAATAAGAATATCTTGTGATGAACAGGTGCACATTCGAAAGATGGTAAGATCAAAAGCACAATCGAGTGGTTTTCATTTCAGCCATCTTGAATTTGAGCCTTCTGGGCCAGCAGTTGCTCCCAATCCTACTGGCTCCAAAAATTAAATGGCATCCTCAGTCAAAAGACCATGTTTCAATCACACTTAATGGACAAAATAATATTTATGAGACCATTTGATGAGAGATAAAAGGATGTCCAATTAATAGAGGTTCAGGTGTATGTATATACAGTTGAACTTTCCTGCAAAGCCTCTGGTATGAAGGTAAGTCAGGGCCATTGCAAAGAGGCAGGGGTGTAAATGTCATCAATTTTGGAAGGCAAAGATGGCTAATTTTTAGTTCAAAAATGTTTATTGCAGGATAGTGATATGCTTGATATAATCAATAGCAGGTTACTGTCGGTTATATGTACGCGTGTAGACGTGAGGAAAAAACATGTTCTAATTGGGTGCAAACACGACATGTTTTGCCGCCAAATATTCGAAGTCTGGAGTAGACGGCTGTTGTCAACTCGATTTGTTTTTGCTCAGCAAAATATTCTTTTCAAGAATTTTTAGACGTTAAGAATAATTTGTGGAAGCTAGTGTGCTGTTTCTGAGTGAGGAATATGCCTGAAAGTTGAGAAAAATGAAATATGAGTGGAACACCCTGGTCAAAAGCATTTAAACAACAGTACTTACCTTTGGTGTGACAGTTTGCTTTAACGGCTGTCAAACTTCTAATGTCTGGCGGCAAAACTCGTCATGTCTGGCACCCTATTAGAACATGTTTTTTTGTCTTGCGTTCACTCTTAGATGCAACCGACAGTAGATATAGTATAAAGTAGATTAGTTTGCATGTTGCATCATATAGCCACTGATGAAATTGACACAGTCCATTTTAAGTGGCTGCTGATTTTCTTGCTATTAAACTGAGATATCCATGAACTCCTGAAACATGAGGACTCATGAGCAAACCACATAACCATAAACTAATTATCAACTTTTTTATTGTTGTTTTTAATACTTGCTGTTTAGTGTCCTCACAGGTCTGATTTGCTTGTAAGACAATAAAATTTTCCAGAAATATTCCCAGTATTCAGAGTTATCAGAGATTCACAGTGAGAGAGGTTCTTTTGAAATAAGCAAATTTATCAACAACAGTACAGTACATCAGTTGATCCCATGAACCTACATTCTTGTCCTGGCAGAGCTACAGTACAAACTTGCCTTTACATTTGAGGCTATAGCAAGAGTGAGTGTAAGTTTGAATTCTCAAACAGGACAAGAATGTAGGTGCAACTGATGTACATGTACTATATACTGTAGCTGATAAAATTAATTTGCTCGTTTCACAGCTAGAAATGTGCCTGGTTTTGTGCTTTCTCTTGGACTGAGTTGTTAGGGAGTTTAAGATACCATGATGCCGACAGCCACAAAAACGTCACTTAAAAAGTGAATTTGCATACTTTCAATCTCTATTGCGATTCCCCCGACTGATTTACTTTGTCAAATGCAAGCAAACTCTTTTTGAGCCGAATTCCTAAGAACCATATTCAAGTTCAGAAAGAGAAAGAAAATTTAGCCGTTGCTTGTTTATGTCCTCTGTAAAGTGTGACAGTAGGCATTTTCCTGTTGTAGTCGTGCAGTGACAGCAAAGAAATGTACCAAAAAGCGTGATGCACATGCAGAGTTGTTGTTTTGCCTATTCAACCTATTTCTTTTTTTGACGTTTTCGTTGTCGTCGTCATCACAACATCTTAAAGTCCCTATTCCAGCTGAATTAATTTTTTGTTGATGGTTTTGTTATCTGGGAAGCCCAGAGTGACAAAGTCTGTATAAGCTTTTTATTTTTAGCAGTCTACAAACCCAAAAAGTGTAGACTGTAAGTAATAAAACAAAACAACCCCAAAGTTAAAAGGATCAAAAGTGCTCATGTGTTATTCCCTCAATAAAATCCAGTTCTCCTCAGAGAAGTTCAAAGGATACTGGTAATGGGACTTTCTTGACTGGTAAATTAGGGATATGAAAGATGTGATAATTAGATCGCATTGCGTAGAAGATAATATATTTGAATGCTGTTTTGTGCCCAATATATAATTATTATTATTATTATTATTATTTATTATTATAATTACTGTACCATGCTTCAAGTGTCTCCGTGTTGGCACCTCTGTGTAGGTGCCTCCGTGTTGGTGGGATACTGCCAAGCCAAGCCAGCGGTGCATCAACACTGACCCAACCATGGAACATGGAGCTTAAAACTCTTTATTCAACACAGCGTCTAAGGATGTTTACTGGAATGACTCTTTGAATTGAACTGGTTACCCTGATTTAAAATATAGTGTCCAGTCAATGACTGAAAGTTTTGGTAAAAGATGATGTTGGTGAAATCTGTTTTAGACTTAGTCTCCCCGTAGACGTCCTTTGGGGTTCGTCTGTGGGGAGGCTATTCTAGACTATGATGTAATGGTATATTTTTGTCTTGTTTACTAGGTAGATGTTCTTGAGGATCCCATCTTCAAAAATGTAATAATATTACAGACTGTTTTACAAGAAGTTCAGCATCTCAATGCCTCAGTTTACAAAAGAATAAGAGATATTATATCTAACAAGGAAAGAAAGTTCTATGTGTTTTCAAATGAACATCACAGGTTAGTAGGTATTATAGCCGTACATTGTAGCTACATGTGAAAGCTTGACCCAATTATCTTTCTCATGCCCAGTTATTTTAGATGGTAGTAGTTTATAAAAACATTGTCCATGATAAAGCGTTTACCATGTGTTTTATAAGGAAATTTAAGAGGAAATGTTTGAATTTGTTAACCGATAGTAAGGAAAAGAGGTGAGTGTTGTTGTTGTTGTTGTTGTTGTTGTCATCTCCGCGAGCTGTGCGGACTATGGCGTGAGATCATTCTTTGCAAAGTTGTTTTCTCTTAATAACAATTTTTTGGTGAATTAATAGTTTTCCCGCACCTAAATATGGATTTTACAATCATTTTAGGGTGCACTTCTCTCAGTTTCAGGATGAAAACATAAGCGTAACTGTGAGGAAAAAAAATATACTCACGTAAACATTGATGCGCACTGCTTTGAGCGCACCCTACAATAATAAAATTTTAAGTTAACTGATGCATTGATCGCTTTGATAATGTTATAAAACAATAATAGTTCATGCTGCAGCTGTACGTATGTCGAGATATTGGTGTGACTTTGGACCTTGGTGTGACTTTGGATTCTAATTTAACTTACGATGAACATATAATTAAAACCGCTTCCTCGTGCATGTCCCGCCTTGGCCAGATAAACCGTGTCAAGCATGTCTTCGACAAACGTACACTTTTGATGATTATTAATTCCTTAGTTTTTAGCAGGTTATTTTATTGCTCCAATGTTTGGTCAAATACCTCAAATTGTAATGTCAACAAGTTACAGGCAGTGCAGAACTTCGCATGCCGCATTGTTAGCGGCGCGCGTAAATTTGACCATGTTACACCAATTCGCAAGGAGCTAAATTGGCTTTCAGTTCCCAGTCAGCTTTATTACTGGAACGCTACAATGGCTTTTAAATGTATGACCAGTCAAGCCCCTGAATACCTTACATCAAAATTCATAAAGCGAGCAGAGGTTAGCCGACGTAGCACCAGAAATTCACAGCTTTTACAAATTCCCTTTTTTAGAACAGCTGCCGGTCAGAGAACATTTTTCTATAGAACTGTGAACTTATGGAACTCCTTAGACAATTCCTTTAAACTGTGTAACTCGATTGATGTTTTTAAAACTCGTTTACGTACTAAATTACTTAAAGAATTGTAATTTTATATATATTTTAAAACATTTTTTAATTGTAAATAGGATCATGTATTGTCTTTGAAAAGCCCCTTGGGAAAGTCAATAAAGTATGTATGTATGTATGTATGTATATTGAGCACTTGGGAAGAGGCTAGAGTTGCACTCGGCTGCGCCTGGTGCAACTCTTATGCCTCTTTCGTGCTCTCCAAACTTCCCGCGTGCTCAATATCTCGACATACGCACGCTGACGCATGAACTAATTGTTGATTACACTGACGAGATCCCTATTGCTACCTTTTCATATACCTTAAGGCGGAAAGAGGTTAGTGGATGAGGAAAATATAGTGAATCTTTAAGCTCTTACCTAGTCTTTTATATAAATTTCTATACATATGTTACAGGTCAAAATTAAATTCAGGTTAAAATTTTTTAACCTAGGTTGATTCTGAATTTCCTTTGTCTAGTAGCCGTAATTCATGAATAAATAGGGCTAGGAGACAAAGGAAATTCAGAATCAACCTAGGTAAAAAAACTTTAACCTGAATTTGATTTTGATCTTTAACACATATTTGCCCTGGGGCCAGGGCGGGGGGGGGGGGGTTACTCCAGATTTCAAGTGATGGGGATGATCGAATGGAGACAAAAATCAAAACTCCAAAAAATCGCTAGACCAAAAATTATCCGCCAAAAATCTCCATGCCAAATTTCCAAGTCTTAAAACTGTCCTGAAAGCATTAACTGATGTAACACAAAATAATCATGTCATGCCTCTTCGCTGTCATTCACATTGCAAATTTTACACTTACTAACTGACTGGGATACACGGGCACTAGCACGAATCTTCAGATTGTTTTGAATACTCCCAAAAAATCCCTACTTAAACCAAGCCACCAAAAAAAAATCCTGGAATGAACATTTTAAACCCAAAAAAATCGTTTGATCATGCATCCCCATCACTTAAAATCCAAAGTACCTCCCCCCTGGGCATATTAATTTGAGTATGTCATGATTGCTTGAAGTTTGCTGTTGTTTTTAGTATGGTAGCAGTATGTTTAATATATAGATATTGAGGATAAAACAAGCAAAATGACAACATGAACCTCAAAGCATGTATATGATTGGTGATGCCTTCAATGCAGTTTTTGTACTCTTTATCCCACTCATTTACAGAGAAACCTACATAGAGAGAAGAAAAGATGAATCGGCAAATGACAGAAATGATCGAGCAATAAGGACTGCAGCGAGGTGGGTTGTACGTAGCTACTGCAATAAATTAACTTCTATTGGAGAAAAGAGAGCAGCATCCTTGAGATGCGATGGTATTGTAATTATGATTTATATTCTGTTGGGTGCCAGTTGATTTCCTTTGACTGACCTCACTGTTGTTTAAGAACTGAGTGTCTTAGTGATGTATTTTATAGAGAAAGTTAGGTTGTACATATAGCTTCTAATTTTGGGCTTTGATTTGAACAAAATTGAGCAAAAAGCAAATATGGTTATTTACAATATTTTTGGTTGTGGTCTGGGGTAAGGACTCCATTATGAAAGGGACGGTGTAGTTGTTCATCCTATTTAAGGGTGTTAATAAATTATTTCAGAGTTTGGCATTGCTGTGGGTGTTCAGCAGGGAAGGTCATCATTTTGAGCCATACAGGTATTTCTCAACACCTTATGCATGAAGAAATGAAGAACAGGAGAGAAAGAAGATAAGAAAAAAAGAAAGCATTCAATAAAAACTCTGAATTTGGATGTCTGTTGTAGAATCATTTTTATGGTATTTAAATTCAGAGTAAAATAAATCTCAAACCATGTCCAGGCCCTTAACATTGAGATTCTTCTATGTACTTGCAAGACTCATTCAAGGTGTTGCAGTTGTAAAAAGTTGAACTTAAGTGACACTGATACATGTTTCCATTTATGTGTTTATTTTTATTTGAATTCATGCTATTCTTTCAGTTGGTATGATGAACACCTGAAGGAATGTGAAGGGGGAAATGATGAGGAATCAAGAATAAGAATTGTTCTTCTCACTGATGACAAGAAAAATAACGAGAAAGCTAAATTGGAGGGAATCATAAGCTATACAGGTAGATACATGTGTATATTTGGTGTGCTGTTTAAACATGTTCTTGAAATAATTATTGGTATTTGATTTTGTAATTTTGCAGTGGGCTGTTTTTCAGTAAATTAATGTTAGTACATGTAAGAGCCAGAGAGTTAATTTGCAGGTTTGTGGGTTTCGGGTGAAACCAAAGGTCTTGTAACTCGAACCCTGACATAGATTTTGCACCTTGCATGGCACCCAAATTAACTAGCCTGTGTACATACCGTAGCAGGCACCAGTTAATTTTTTGTAAAGTCCACGAGATGGGAATGCATGAAGAGAGAGGAGGCCACCTCAGTCACCTTTCCTTCCTTCCCACGCATGCATCCTCAAGAATTCTCCCTTCACTTTAAAAAAATAATAATAATGCATGCATGCTTAGTTAATAATGCATATATTGTTTTATCAGCTCAGGAGTATGTTGAAAACCTCGAAGGATGTGAGGCATTAGCGGATAGACTGGCCCGTCCCTCCCAGACTGGACAGGAGGAGGTATGTCATATAGCTTTAAAATTCTTCTAAACCACCAAGTTTCTTTTGTGGCAATTTGACAAGGTTTATTTCAACCCTAACCCTGAACATGTAGCTTAGTAATGGTAATGATTACCTTTTGTTAAAATTATTAACCTGTCTTGACTGTTTCCTTTTTATTGTTTTGCTGACCTTAAAAGCAATACAAAGTTTGTTTTTAGATTGAGAGGGATAATTGGGTAACCATAATTATGTTTGATGGAGGATCAAAGCTTAGCTAATAAAATCTTCTACTTTTATGTTATTGAAAAGCCAGTTGCTTGGTAAGACATTTTTTTATAACAAGAAAAATTAGAAGTACAATGATGTTAACCATTTCAATGTTTAATGTCAAAGTTGTTAAAAGAGTTGTGATGTGATTTTCATTCTCAATAATGATGTTGTACATGTATACATCAAAGCGTCAAATAACGTTTATATTAAGTTTATAATTCTTATTTTTCTTGCTTCTATGTTGTTTTTTTTTCTTTAGTCTGATGGCAAGAAAACTAGGAAGCTGGTGTACCCTGAGCATCTTCCATTAACAAAAATACAGGCTGGACTCAAAAGTGGCAGGTACTTGCAGGTACAATTTACCATGAGCAACAGCTGTTTGATTGATAGGAACTTTTGATACTGGGGTAAAGGTGTTTTGATACAGGTTTCTGGAGACCATGCTCTGACATTTTTCAATCACATAATAGAAAATGGCCTTCCCCATGTCAGATCGACATTAAAAAAACTTCACTACTAAGTGTTTTTTGGATGGAAGATTGGCTGCAAGATACAGTTTGTGGCAAACTTAATAAATTATTACCATGACATAATCAGCAAGAAAGTTTGAAATCAGTGAAAGCAAAATTTTTTCTACCTTTTAGACCTTCCATTGAAAATTTGAGACATGTTTCAAAAACTTGTCAAAATAATTAGTTATTAAAACACTTTTTTGTCTATTATTACTTGACAAAATTAATTTTTGGACATGTACAATTTTATTTTCATCTCTTGACAAAATTTCAACCCTGTCAGAGCTCTGTAGCATCACTGTAACAGGGTTGTAAAATTAATCTGTAACAACCCTGTTACAGCTCGTCATTTGGCACAGTTAGCAAGGCTGTTTCTACACTGTAGCAGCCTTGGAACAGCCTTGTCACGTTTTACTCAAAATTTCTTATTAGACACCTTGTAACAGCCATGTTACAACCCTGTTTCCACCCTGTGATGGACATCCCTACCACAGCTCATAAACTGGCACTGTTAGCAAGGCTGGTTTTACACTATGGCATTCTGTTAACAGCCATGGTACAGGTTTTATGCATCACAACCCTGTTACAACTTGTTAATTGGCAGGTAACAATTGGTCTAATTTTTCGTTTTGTTTCTTCTTTTTATAAAGGGTTCTTTTCACAGAAGTAGGTAAGTCCATGATTATCCATTCAACTCAAAAACTGTAAGACAGACACCTCTGGGACCAACACTGTGTCCATCTTAGAGAGATGTCTGTCTTTAAAAAAGACAACTAAAAGGAGGAAAGAAAGGCCGGCATCGTCCATAGATGTCCATTCTAGTGAGAGATGCCCATCTTAATGACGTGTCCATCAAAAGAGAGGTGACTGCGCGATGTACACTAAATAGATAAGTCAAATCGGGGGAGTTGAAATACCATTCTAGACTAAGCACCAAAAACCACCCATACCCACATCCAGTAGACTATTATTATCATTAACCTGAAACTCTAATCTTTAAACAACTAATCTGAGTTTTCCGTAGAATTAACAAATACCTAAATTCTAGATGAAAACCCTTCTTTCCACAATAGGGCATAGCTTTATGGCCCAACCTAGTGAAAGGGCCCCCAGAAACCTTGGCCAGTAAAACCAGGTGAATGGTATATTAAGAATATTAAATAAAGTGGAGTGTATTTGACTGCTGGAGCGTGGTGGTCAAAACATGAGTATTTAAGGTGGCTCTGAACCTCTTCCCAAGAATGATAATTTATTGTAACGCGGCTTATCCCTATTCCAAGGACATTCCAAGCTCATTGTTGAGTGGTCAGTGCTCAGAAGGCTTGATCAGAAATGCTGCATTGTCTCAAAAATTTTTGGTATATAATTTGGAATTGTGAATGTGGTCCTACACATGTTCTTGTAATGACCTTAATTCTTACATGTGAGACCCTTGTCTTTATATTTTTATTATTAGTTAAGGAACCTTGAAGATTTTGTGCATTCAATCTCTAGGGAAAACTACACAGAGGCTTATGTGTTTGTTCATGATGGAGATAAACAGGTACAACTACCCCAGCAAGTTGCCATTATTTAGAAAACCATTTTTTAGCCCAAACGAACCTCAGAACCATTTGTTGTGGTTCCAGTTTGGCCTTGGTTCAATATAAATTTATCTTCCTTTGTTTTAAAGTTTTTATGCATTAATTTTCCATATCCAAAACAAAGGAAAAGTAACATTCTCAACCTAGGATGTAATAAACAACATAAAAATCATGCTGGCATCCATTTGTTGTTAGACTTATTCACATCAGCAATGTCATATTAAGGTGAAGTAATTACATTGTTTTTACATCATTCACTTTTTTAGTGGCCACTGTGAAGAAGTTATTCTGACAGTAGCGACACAATTAACTGGCTGCTTTCAAGAGATGACTATTACAAAGTAGTAAAAAAAGAGTGAATGATTGTACAGTTTGTCTGCTTGGGGAAAAAAATGGAAAGTACACAGATGGTGGTGTTACTGAGAGTTGACCATTAGTAGAGGCTCAACTTTATTGTATTTTATGGCTGTTAACAATGTTTTCTTTTAGTCCTTTTGTTTTATAATGGGAAATTTTTTAAGCTACGCCGTACTTGTACAACTTCTTTGTCATTGAGTCCTGGCAGACAGCTAAAAAGTCTAAATACCGGCTACTACTAATTTTGAGTCACTTACAGTGGAAAAAGTCCAGTGCAATGCTGTTGCACGCCGTCTTGTTTTACTTCCTGACTGTTTAATCCTGATGAAAAGCTTTCTACAAGAAAAAAGCTAAAAAATAAAGTGTAGTTCTCCACTTGACAAAGTTGTCTTTATCCTCTCCTTAACAGGTCTTTGTTCAAGGTTTGGTCAACCTTAACCGTGCTGTCCATGAAGATATCGTTGCTGTGGATATATTACCAAAGAATCAGTGGTCCTGTCCATCATCTGTCGTCACTACATCAGCATCAACTGAAAATGTTGACGATGATGATGATGGTGATGATGAGAGTACAAATGGTGGTGATGGCAATGACCTTAACAAAGTATATAATATGGTTACTGTTGAACAGATTTTGCTAGCCTTGTGAAAAACCCATCCTCGGAGACTCAGGGGCGGTCAGTCGGGCCGGGAGAAAAGGCGCGACAAACGTTTCCAAGCACAGGCGGAAAAGCCACTGGGTACCGACTCTCACCAGACCATTTCCAAACGGTCAAGCGAATGCTTGCTCCTGATTGGGCAAAAAAAATGCTTTGTATTATTGTGCCCAATCGGCAAACAGCATCTCCTGAGTTCTTTTCGTG